ATGTAGATTCAAAGATAGATATAATCCGAATAAGAGAAGATAGACTAGCTACGAGAACGTTTATCAAGATTTTTCTCGCTTCCTTCCTTCCTCCACTATCAGAAACTAATACTCTTCTTAAATTCCCAGTCCTAATATTTGTTTATTGTTAATAATTCACGCCTTCTAAAGTTTACAGTTTACACTTAGTACAGAAACCCAAAACCTTAATGGCACTTTTTTGAGAATTGAACGGGAAGTCTAAATATAATTAGTTTTAGTAAAGTGCTATCTTACTCAGCCAACGCAAACGGTGCTCCAAAAACAGGAACAATTATCGCCACCTTTCACCAAAGGATATACTAAAATGCAATTTCAATTGCTACTTCAATGGTCTAACGTATTGTACATTAGTATTTGACCTTGAGAGCGTGTTTCTTGCTAAGGCAGAATCCCTTTCCTCGTGGCTTATTCCATCCGTTAATCGGAACATCGATGGTATAGGAACATCTGGAACTAGAACTCCAACGTCTTGTCGCCGCCATGAGACACCGACTACCATTTTAAGCGATTGTCTATAATGCGGTATTCGCCATGCATATAGTATCGGGTTTAGCGCACAGCTTAGCGACAATAAACAAACAGAAAAAACCCTAGCGATTGCTTTGCTTTCGTTACAATCCATGCTTTCTTCTTCCGCGTGGTCGTCGTCTTCATGAACATGGTGGGGTCCATCACATCCCTCTGAAACTTTTTCCACGATTAAATAGGGTATCAAAGACGCCAGAACTACGAGCATTATCAATAATATCGTCACTATGATTTTCTTTTCAAACTGGAGATTATGCATATGGATACGATTGGACCTGCTGTCGCTCTGATGAGCAAAGACAGCGTTTCTTGAATGCTTCCTGAAAGCCAAATACGTTGCGATAAAAATTATAAGTAACCCGGCGATAGGAACGGTTGTTTGTAAATGGAGGTCTATATCATGAAGAAATTTTTCAATGGATGGTGCGAAGTGAGTCGCTTCAAATGTAGCGATGGAAATCCAGATGAAAACATTCGTGGCTGCAGCACGCTTACGCGTTACGAAAGTGTTGTACTTCCACGGTAGTGTTATAGCTAAGAGACGGTCTACCGCTAGAACGACGAGAGTCAAGATAGAAATTTTCGTTCCCACATGAGAACCAATGGATACAATATTATCAAGGACTGAAACTTTATGTCCCGTTGCCTCAAGCAACAGAGTCAACGCGTATGTAGTTTGAATGAAACTTCCCGCCAAAAAGTCGCTTGTTGCCAAACCTTGAATGAAGACGGTGGTAGCTCGCCTTTGGAAACATTTCAACGGATCCTTGTGTAGAGTTAGCAGAAGAAGGATGTTTGAAATTGCAGATATTAATCCAAGAACGAGACTTAAAATAGCTGCAAAAATTTGCGCCCAAAACATAGGTTCGTCACCGTGGTCTTGGTGATCCTCTGTTTTATTCGCCACATCACTAAAGTTCATGTTGTAAAGTTAGAAGCTAGCAGTTCGAGATTGAATTGAAATATCTCTCCGACCGCTGAAGTGTACATACTGTCTATCTTACAGCACGTTCAACCAGTGGGACGAAGAGCTGGTTCCATTTGATTGGCTCTCACGTCTCCAGCTGCCTCGTTCAATAAGTTATACATGTAGGTTTGTTAATATGGTCCATAATGTCCAGCAAAGACGCAATGCATTTTTTTTTTCATTTTTGTGCCTTATTAATATTTTCTTAACTAATGCCATACACATTAATGTTTAAAATTGGAAGAAGTATTTAAATCAAAATCTTGCTCAAAATCCATGACAATTAAGTTATCTTCAGGAAAACATTCAGTTAATAGATGAGAATAAACTTTTCTTTCACCTAAAGCTGGCTAAAACGAAGGATATATAGAATGTTTACGTTAAGTTGATTATCGTCAATTTTTCATCTTTTTTTCCTTCTTTTTATTTTTTTATATTTCTAATTTGTAACCTAAGCTATTTTTTCTTCCCAAAGATATATAAAATGTCAAATGTTTAATGAATATTGCCGCTTAATTATTGCCCTAAATTTTTGAGTCTTTTTTATTTTTCTTACCTTAGCTATTTTCGCTTCCCAAAAATGAAATTTAAACTGATGTTTAATGAATATCGCCGCTTAGTCATCGGTCTTAAATTTTGGGGCTCTATTTTTTATTTTTTTTACTTAAAGTAATTTTTCGCTTTCCAAAGATAAAATCATAATGTTAGAAATTTCAAAAAATGAATGTCATTATTATTATATTTTTTACAATTTTTATTTTGCTAATTAATAGCTATTCGTTTTTATTGAGAAGTTTTCTTCAAAACGGTTGTTTCAGCTTCAAAACTCTTCGCAATTTTGAATTTTTGTGTGTGTGTGTGCAAAACACTCGAATTTATGTCATTTTTTTGTAAAGTAAAAAGGTGTTTTGACATTCGCTGGTCACGATTGGACATCTAAGTTATTAATATCATCCGAATAAGATAAAAATAAACTTTATTTTGGCAATCCTCCTTTAGATTAAGGCGCTTTGGCTCTTAAAATTCGACATTCATGGAATTTTACCCTATTGACAAATGATTTGAGTCTAAGTTTCATTGGCCAGTAAGAAGAACCAATCAAATTCGATTGCATATTTTGGCTATTTACTAATTTTATGTGTTCTTAGCACTAATCATTAAGTTTCGAATATAATTATTACTGTAAATCTTGCAATTGGTTGACGGAACCGTAAGTGAGATGAGCTTGTTTAATTAATGAGTTGTTCTCTCTTGCCATGAGAGTTTTTCTACGTATTCAAAAAAATATGTTGTGGTACGCTTTTGAGATGAAAAAAAAAGTCTCGTTGCACTATTCACGAGCATGATTATTAAAGCTACAAAGCTAAAGGTCAATATTGTTTCAAAATACAACTTGTTCATGACATAATTATTTAATTTCTTATTCCAAATATTAAGAAAAAACCTGCTTCTGAATAATCTTTTGCTCATCTAATAAGCTATTAAGAAAACATTTTTTCCGCTTCTATAAAATGCCAAAGAACAGAGCGCGCTGTCATATTACCAAACTTACGGCTTTAAATGGATTCCACAGTCTCAACACTTTAATTATTGCAATATATATTTGTTTTTAAAAACGTAGGCAGATGTGGAGCATATAATGTTCAATTAGACCAAGCAGTTTTTTAAAGCCAATATGTAACTTGGACAAGCTTTTGTTTGTTTTGAAAGTTATTTTCTTTCTTTCTTTCTTTCTTTTTTTCTTTCTTTCTTTCTTCTGTCTGTCTGTCTGTCTGTCTGTCTTTCTTTCTTTCTTCCTTTCTTTCTCTATTGTAAATATGTAAAGGCTGCAAAATCTTTATTTAACCCATAGAGTTTATCGTTTGCATCCTCCACATTTCAAGAGTTACTTTTGTAATTTATAGTTTACTGTTGCGATGTGTGGTAATAAATTAACATTTTCCATATTTTCCTTGTTTTTCATTCAATCATTCATTCTTTCTTTCATCCTCTTTACCAGCTTATTCTTTCTCTTTGTATTTATTTGTTTTGATTTATTTATCCATTATTTTCTTCTATCTTTTTTATTTTCTTTTTTCAATTACATCTCATTCAATCGTTCTTTTTTTATCCATTCTTACAGTTTATTATTTATTTTTGTATTTGTATTTCTTTATTTTTTCGCTTTCATCACTTATTCCTTTCTTTCATATTTTCTTTTCTTTTTCCTTTACATTTTATTCAACCATACACTTTTCCTACATTATCTACATAAATACAATTTAGTAAGTCTAGGCTTTTTTCCCTCAAGATTTTGCCTCTGTCCTTGCGGCGAGAATTGGCGGATATTAGAGAGTTTTAGATTGACTTTTTTTTTTCCCCGCAAACGGCAAATGTGACCACGTTTTCATAGTTTTCGTGTATTTTACTTTACCTTTTACAAACCTTCTCACCAAGCGCAAATACGTTTTTGTTTTTCTACTACTTGCACTTTTTTGCAATTCTTTTTCAGTAATTTAAAAGAATTTTTTACTGGTCAACTGACGTTTCACGTTTGCCGTGAACGTAAATCTAAAACTTTTTATTAACTTTCCTACGGGGCCCTGGAAGGGAATCCGGAGAATCCTCGAATCCGGCGCTTTCTCTTTTTTAGCTTTTATTTACCATTTCTTTCTTTCTTTTATTTTATTATTTTTCTTTTCGTGAGGGTCATATGATAAAATGCTTATTGACTGAGTTAGGTTGGCCGTACGGGAAAATATTTGGCTCGAGGTGATGCCGTACGGACCGAGCACAATATTTTCCCGTACGGACCGACCTAACTCAGTCAATAAGTACATAGTATTTTACATAAGCGGTTCTTGGTAATAATAATAATAATAATAATAATAATAATAATAATAATAATAATAATGATGATGATGATGATGATCGGTTGCTGATGATAAGGATGACGATAACAACAAAATTTGATATTATTATAAACTTATGATGCATGATAATGATGATTTAGAGGATGGCGATCACGACAACGATGACGACGAAGATGACGAAGACGATGTTGATGATGA